TATTATATATTTGTATTTTATTATATATTTTTTCCTGTAATATTTTACATTTATTTTTTTTTATGGTATTAATAATGAAGAAAATATTATTTAAAGTATTAAGCATCATTTTCTTGTTTGTAAAATTTTACAAATTGTTGTTAATAAAAGCAAATGTGAAACTGTTACATTTCCTGTTTTTTATTTGATTTTTATCGGAACAAAATTAATATAACTACTATTGATAGAGAACAATTTGGTACTATAACTCAAATTTTTAAAAATAAACTTATTTGATTTTTTTAGAAAAATAAGAAATAATCCTTCATTTTTGGAAATAATCTTACATTCTTATTAAAGCTTTTTTATTATTAACCTTTTTTTTTATTTTATACACTATACACTTTATACACCGCAGTAACGCCAATATATAATATGAGATTTTACGTTTCACATATAAGTTATATAAATTGTATAACGTGGGATGCCCGGAATCGGCTTGAGAATAATAAATAAGTAATAGCTAAATAAATAAGCAAACAGATCTGATTTATATGAGAAATGTGATTTACGAGAGCCATGAAATAGAGATCAGAAAACCTGAGCTCAATGGTTTCTGAGTGCAATCCTCGATCTTTCTATAATAAAATAAATTTCGATTCCGTGTTACTCGTCCCTCATCGAAATTTTCGACACGTTTACTATGAATGTAAAAAATTTATATAACTCGACGACATCGATTCCATAATACCTGCAGTACGCACATGTATAAAGCGATTACTTGCTTAAATAAATAACTATATATAGCAAGATGCGAAACGCAGAATCAAAACATCTTGTTACTTTTATTGCTTGTTACCTTGTATTGTAAAATATATGCATATATATGTTTATATATGTATATTAGCGAATTAACAGCTCGATGAATGACTCGAATAGAAATCGTATACGTTTTAGTTGCTTCCGTTGAAGTTGCTCTACTAAAAAATTCCGCTTATTGCTAGAGAAAAATGTTTGGCAAAGAATTATTTGATTTATTTCGTTTTTTTATTTTCGCTGTGTATCTTGGATTATTTATGCTATTTCAACCAGCTGTATCGATATTGAATGGTACATACTGTTAAATATCAAAGAAGCAATAGTTCGTTTTTTTATTTTTCATTTTGTTATTTTCAATTGTCATGTCTGCAAAATGTAAATCAATCAATTTCTGTGTTTGAAATGTTTAGTTTCAAAGTAAACAATATCCATATTCCGTATGTACTTAAATAATAAACTAAATTTGATTCAAATTTAATATTTTTTTATTTAAATTGTTTAACTCCATTGTTTTAATTAAGCATTATTAAAATCTTTATAAGATGTCTATAAGCATCAAGTTATTAAATTGCAATTTTAATTTATGATGTTACTACTGTTCAATCAGGTTTGCGTTTTAATATTGAAAAATCAATTTGGTGCGCAGTTTAAATGACTATATAAGTAGTATATAAATTCACAGTATTACTTAAATATTTAAGGTCCAGTTTGATCGGTAAAGATTTTCTTTTGCCCTTGAGCCTGTTGAGTTTTAATTAAAACTAATTAATTAATATATTGAGTAGTAGCAGTGACAACTTACAGAAAAAATGATTAAAAATTAACAATAAATTAAATATAATTTGATATTGATGAATTTAATAGTGCAATATTGCTATTGACATGTAAATTTTACACGTCATTTTCCGCGGAAATAGGTCGTTATATAACACAAGATTTTCATACATTGCACATTTTTAATGACGAAATATTTATAATCTAAACGCAAATAACTATTTATAAACACAAATAACTTAAATTAATAACGCTTTCCTTTTAAGTTAAAATTGCTTTGTAATTAAAAAAAATTTTAATAATGTCATCATTTACTTTTCTATTTTGAGAGTTAACCAATTTTTGAGTTTTTAGTATAGAGAGTATCAGCAATGTTTGTATCGGCTGCCACCTCATTAATACCGAACTTTTCGCCAAATCGATCAGACTATTTAACTAAGAAGTAACTTGCACACAATTATTTTTAAGAGTCTGATGTCTCGTTGCATCTTTAATTTCTGAGAGAGATGAAACGATTTTTTTTTCAGGATATTGGAGACTAGTTTCGTATTATTGAATCTTTCTTCCAATAACAGAAAATCTTCTTGAGCATTATTTATATTAATAAAGATAAAAAATGCCTTTTATGTTTAAAAAATGCAAACATACTTGAGTGTTTATTCAGAGAATATTCTTTGAAGTGAAGTCTTTTGGAAACTGACTGTTTAACAATTCCACATAATCATAAGAATCTTTCTCATAATGTGATACCAAAAAAATTTCATTCAATTTTAATATTAAAATCTATGTTTTTATACAAAAGAAATCATAGAGATAAAAACTTTTTAAAAATTTTTAATTTTGTTGAAGCTCGTAGATAAGTAAGTGATGATATTATCAAATTAAACAAAATTTTTTTTTTAATTATGCAGCAATCAGATTGAAATGGCATAGAATGACTGATTTTCTTATGTATTGTTCAATCAAATAATATAAAAGAGAATATCTTAGAATAAGAACATTCTTTCTTTCATCAGGAAGCTGTATACGAAAATATTCTTAAAAAATTAGACAATTAATAGATGCCCTATTCGCTTAATCTAGCAAGTAATATCTAGTAATATTAGCACGATATATAAAGACATACATATAGTCAGGATTATAAGCTGATTTTATGACGTGAAACGCTAGAAGATAAAAGGATCACGGAGTATTTGCGTTTTCTTGTTTGTTGTCGGTAAAGATATTTTTGTATGAATAATGCATCTTGGCCATCACATACGCGTGCCTTTATGTCAAACCAGAGATAAACCTGGATCAGCGCAAAATACTCCGTTTAATGCAACACTGCTTCCTAGACAGTTGCCACAGGAATAGGGTTATCATATCTGAATCGCAAGATAAAAGTTACATATGTACACTTTTTTAAAACAGATAATTATCTGGGGAAGGAAGGAGTTTAATTTTTGCACGAAAAGAATAGTTTTAAAAAAATATCTAAAAATTTTTAACTAGATATAGATCTAAAAATAATTGGATCAAAATAATTATATAGGATGATCAAACTGGCTAGAATATCAAAACTTTTGCAGTATTGCTTATTATCTTATATAACTGTTTTGATATTTTAACAAAATTTTGTTCAGATTTGTATTTAGCTAAATTTTTAGATATTTTTGCAAAATTGTTTTTTTCGTATAGAATTTCTGTATAGGATTTCTTATATTAATAAGAATTGTCAAGTACAAATTATATTCTAAAAATTTTATTTTATTAAATAAAGTTTCTAAAACATAATTTTTATTATTCCGCCATTTTTTTTGAAAATTTCCGCCATTTTAAAATTTAGTAATCTTGATCTTAGAATTCAATCAATAAGCCCCTATAGAAAAAATTCTGAAAAATACTTTAGAATATCCTAAGTAGAATATCCCATATCATGATGGATCTCTGAGAGATCCATCATGGCACAAAGGGTTAAAAATACGGTTGGTAATTTTCTTTCTGGAAGATCAAGAATGGAAGCTCAAGAAT